GAGTGAGCTGGAATGATTAATAGGATTGGTGTTCATTTGTGGAAAGGTAGTTAATGTTCTGGGTTTTTTACACCAACAGGTAATCTCTCAAATGAACTATTTGTCCTGACTTTGCCACAGGAATAAACAAATTAAGCAATATTCTGCAAAACACAAGAAATTACATCTTATCTACAGAAAACTGCAGTTTTAGCAAAGGAAATGACAAAGGCCCACTGATTAATCTCCATTTTAAATGTACACTGCGCGGGACCACTCCACATAGGTGCCTTCTCGGAACTCTTGTACTATACCCAACTGATCCACAGGTCTCCCGTTCACTTTTGTAAGTCCAAGGTACAAGTAAAGGCAGCGAGTACAGTCAAGTGGCATCTTTTACCAGTGCTGATGTAAGTTTTTCCACTGAAAAAGTTAGTACAGGTGACTTGGAAGGAGTTGATCTTCTGCATGAGTCCATTTTTTTTTTTATACTTAATTTACAGAATCACAGAATCACAGAATGGTCGGGGTTGGAAGGGACCTCTGTGGGTCATCCAGTCCAACCCCACTGCCCAAGCAGGGTCACCTACAGCAGGCTGCACAGGACCTTGTCCAAGCAGGGTCTTGAATATCTCCAGAGAAGGAGACTCCACAACCTCCCTGGACAGCCTGTTCCAGGGCTCCGTCACCCTCAGAGGGAAGAAGTTCTTCCTCATGTTGAGCTGGAACTTCCGCTGCTTCAGTTTGTGCCCATTGCCCCTTGTCCTGTTGCTGGGCACCACTGAAAAGAGTCTGGCCCCATCCTCCTGACACCCACCCTTCAGATATTTATAAGCATTTATGAGGTCCCCTCTCAGCCTTCTCTTCTTCAGGCTGAACAAGCCCAGCTCCCTCAGCCTTTCCTCACAGGAGAGATGCTCCAGTCCCCTCACCATCCTTGTGGCCCTTACGCTGTTGCTGTTTTTGTTGTTGCTGCTGCTGCCAGGGAGGCTTGCAAAGGACAATGCTGTATTGTTTTCATAGAAGGACAGCTGTCTTTTCAGTGGGTATGGCTGGACCTGCTCTCACCTCCTGCTCTCACCTCTGCAGTCCTTTTGATGTTGTCAGGGCACAGTCCTACTTTAGGAACTTTGTGTAAGTTTAAAGTCTCTAGGTAGGGCAGTGGTAACCACAGGTAGGACATGTTTTCTGAATGCAAGTAATTTCTTAGGGGATTTACAGCTCAGCATAACACAAAACCCACAAGCCCACATATTCAGCTGAGAGTCTTGTCCCCAGATTTAACAAAGACTGGAAGCACAGTCCCAGCTTCTGCATCCCAAGAAAATCTTGGCATCTCCATTAGCACAAAAAAAGAAGAAAAAAAATAGGAAGAGAAATAATAAAAGGAAATTTAATTTATAAACCAGCAAAGAAAAGTTTCGCCAAGTGCTGCTTTTGAAAGTGCTATTATCATCTCATATTGCCAATGCAGCTGCAAATCAAAGCTCAGCGAGATCATTTTTCAAGAAGGTCAGCTCAGCATCTGCTGCAATTTCCAACAGTTATTCACTGTAAATAATGGACTTTCTATGCTCATTCTTACAGGCAGCAGCTGGAGCTTGTTTTACAAAAAAAGAAGAGGCAGATAAGAGTGCTTAATAATTTCACTACAATGCAAGCAATTTTCAGTGCTGGTGGTGGGAAATTCTGAACAACAATATATACATATATAAATATATAATAATATATACATATATAAAAAGTATGTTGCACTTTAAAGCAAACTTCTCTGTGTTACTCTATATCAGAGTGTAAGAACTGTATGCCAAGACTGCAAGTTCCTGGTAGGTTAAGAGAGGCAACGAAGATAGTATTTTTAACCGAGCAAAACCTTTGTAAAAGCAGACATGGAAAGCCAGCCCATCCCACGGAAGGACTAGCAAGTGCAGGAGGCAGTAGTCTCTTTGAGAAGCTGCTGCACACCTGCACAACAATGTCTTGCGTGTTCTTTTTTCCCTCCATAGCAAGCCTGTGTCTAACACCAACCCAAACTGTTCTGAAAAAACATAAGAGGACTTGTGAATCACGAGGCGTACAGATGCATCTCTGGGTACGCAGAATTTCCCACCTCTGCTCTGTGAGGAGAGCTGGCTGGTGGAGCTTAGGTGCTTTAACTACAGGGAATGTACCAGGTGCTAACGTAGCAACTGTGCTATGAGGATACTTGAAAGATTCAGGCTAAAACAGAAACCTGGAACAAATTTAAAACTCCAAGAGCGCTTCAGAGTCCCGTTGGGTTCGGTGTATCTATGCGTGTGGTGGGTAGCAGAGAGCAGCCCAGTCCCTAAAAGTCACCTTATGTACTGGGCACTTCAGTTCTGCCCTTGAACCTCATTTGTTGGTGAATGTTACATCTTACTGTCCAACAACTGCCAGGGGATAGATAACCGGCTTGCAAGCTGGGGCACCTACCTTCATACAGCTGCGCGTACTGGGGGAACCCGGCAGCCCGCAGCCAGTCACAAGCTTCCTTGGCCTCGATTTCTGGAAGAGGACAGAAAGAAGACACCCTCTGATTAGCGATCTGCAAATTAAAACTTCCTCTCCACCACTTCTACTATTCCCGTTACGAAATAAGCGTGAAGGTATTCAGCAGCTTTGAGCTGAGACACAGGTTTGCTTCTCCCAGTTTGGCTTTCTTCTCATGATCAAACGTAGGTTCTGGAAAGCCATTAGCCATCACCCATGATTTATCAACAGCTCATCATTTTCATAGTTAGAGAAACAGGCACAGATGAAAACTGCAGGAGTTACAGATTATTCCGTACGGGTTTTATTAACACTGGAGAAACCGGCACCATGATCAACACCAGCAGCATTCGTTCAACGAATCTTATGATCCTCTTGGCACAACTATTTTTGTCTCTACAGAAATTCCTAGTAGAGCTCGTAATACTGTGCACTTTAAGATCTTGTAGGTAGTACGGACAGGCCCAAGCCCAAGAACAACCGAGGCACTGTACTGCAGCTCACTCAAGCGCGTATTTACTACCCAACAAGAACCTAGTTTCACTGGAGGTCTTCAAGGCATTTATGAGTTACTTGGCATTATTACAGGAAATTCAGCTAACTTTCCCTCACGCTGCCCAAAACAGCTTGCCGCAAAATGAAATTATTCACATACATATACATGACACTGAAAGAAAGGAAACATTCTGAACATGGGTTATATTAGTCTGTGAATAAATTATACATTAATTCATTTGCTACCTAATACAAGCAGAAATAAAGAATGTGTTATCTTATTAGCTCAAACAAGGAAAATATGAAAGGTATTTAGGGTATTCTCCGAATGTTTGGGAAACGGATTGGGTGAATTTTGTTCTTCTAAAGCTTCAAGTGCTACCGGGAATTTAGCTCCCTGCTTCGAATTGATCAAACAGACAGGGAGCCATCAGAAACTCTTAAAGCTCATCTGGCTTTGGTTATATTCACTGTTCTTGATGGACCAGAAAAGAAAAGCTTCATTATGTACAACTCAGTAGACAATTTTGCCACCTACTTGGAGTGGACACTATAGCTACCTGCTGCAGAAACCACGCACCAAGGGCTTTGCTCAGAACGTAAGTTACTGCATAAAGGGCAGTCAAACACAACATAAGTAAAATATCTCAAGATTTTGGCATGTTATGAAATATTCCCAGCGAGATACAGGTACACAATTAAACTCAGATGAAATGGCAGGGACCTTTTAGCGTCTCCCAAAATGATGGCAATGCCCCTCTAATTTTCCCAATTGCTACAACAGGGTTAAAACATTTGTCCTTTGCTAGACCGCTTTGCTAAGCTACATACCCAAACCAAGGGGTTAAGGTGAGCCAAAGCACAACATTGCAGATAAATAAACAGCTAAAAATCCACTCTCGCTGAAGTCAGGACAAACAGGCATTTGTGCAACTTGTGTTTGCTTCACCTTTGGGTTATGGGACCACACGAGAACAAGCACGTAGAGACGTATTGACTTAGCTACTCATTAAGAAAAAGTATTCTTCAATTCCGTTTGCAAGCGATTGTAAAATTTTCCTTAAAGTAGCATTTTAATTTCAGTATCCTAAGGAAATGCATGGGATAGTTAGCAAAGAAGGAAACAAAAAATCTAAAATATTTTTAAAACTTGTACTGCTAAAGCAGGAACAAACAACAGGATATTACCACCTTGGAAGCAATGAAAATACTAAAGTAAAAAAAATCTGTAATTAATTTTTAAGAGTATTTAAAAAAAAACGCACTATCTTAGAGCTCACATCCTGCAGAAGTGTCAGAAGAATTATACTTGATTTAAAACTGAAAAAAAAAATGATCCCTGATAACCAGTATTTACCTAAAAATGCAGGTAGATGCTTGTAGTGCAGTTGAAAAAAGCGTCAGATTCCTTACTACTACTGTGGCTCTTAAATGTGTTTAAATATTTGTTCACAGGTCCTTTACTGAGTGCCCCAGGTGTATGACCTGTAAAGTATTTCTAGAGCTGAAAAATTATGAATATGCATCTATCAGACTTTTTTTTAAGGTTCTCTATAGAAGCTTTGTGTCTCTTTTCTGGAAAAATATATGCAAGCTATGTGGAAGTCATATTTTTATGGGCACCCAGGTGTCAGGTGCCTATGGGACTTTCCAAACATATTTGCTTTCAAATAACTTTAAGAATCCCCCAAGAAGTCTACCTAGGCAATGAAACACCTGCGTTATTCCCAGTTGGCCACAAGAATTGCACAGAATAATACACCACCAGTGCACCTGCTCACCAGTTAGGCTTGGCAAATGCCTAGGGCTGGCTACAGGACAACACCAAGGGTTTAAACGCAGTATTTGCCCCGTTTCCATCTCAAACGTTTCGGGAAAGCCATGGCTCTAGCCTCTGGCTCCTGTCGCAAGTCCTTGGAAGGGCAAGGGGTTTGGAGAGTTGGCCTGAAGCAGGGGCCCGGGGTTCACCTGCGGCCAGGGCTCTCTCCGTGTCACCTCCATCCACACCAGAGGTGTGTCCGAGAGGGACACAGCAGGACTGTGGGCAACAGAGCAGAGACAGGACCTACAAAAGCAGCTCCTTTTGTTCAACTCCAGCTGGCCAAAGCCAGGATTGCTCCTAGACTGTACTGATGCACTGTGACCAGGGCAGTGGTGGAGTCACCATCCCTGGAGGGGTTCAAAAATCATGTAGATATGGCACTTCGGGACATGGTTTAGCAGGCATGGGGGTGTTGGGTTGACGGTTGGACTTCATGATCTTGGAAGTCTTTTCCAAGCTTAATGATTCTGTGTCTATTACCAGATGAATGGACAGGTCATTTCCAACCCAGCTTCCCCATCTCAACCCTGCTGGTTACTCAGGAGTCAGAGTATGAACAAAACTGTGTATGTATGTGAAATTCAGGCAGATCAAAATGAAGCTGGAGGCAGAATCCAGCCCAGGGTGTGCTACACAGGCTGCACAGAAAAGCAAATACACAGAACAAGCTCCCTCACATCAGAGACACAAAATTAAACAGCTGAAAGCTTGTATAGGTATAAAGCTCATTACCACAGCTTAACTGGAATCTGCCTTTGAGAACAAAATACATTAGTTAAACCTGAGGTTCTGCCCAAATAATTTAAACTACCCTAGAGGAGAAAGCTCATTCCCACGCTTTCCAAACACCAGCTTTTCTTCCAGATCAGCAGCATTGGCCCAGGGACCCTTGGCTCACCAGCTGCCATGGTTTCACACCCAGGTGGACACAGGAATACACGCAAGTCCTTGTCATCTGGATCAATGGCAACCGGGATAACGAGGGACAAAAGAGAGAAGCACAGAGCTTCCAAAATCAGTTTTTCCCCCCAATTCTAAAAATCTCTAGAAGAGACAGGGCACCCAGAAGCCTTCGCTCAGTCTCCCAGGGGATCTAGGTTACAGATCATTACCTGAGGTACGAGCACAACAACTGCTTGGCTGGGGCCAGCCAAGAGGCACAGCGAGGACAGGGAGCTTGCAGAGGAACTCTGTGCTGCTTTAACCCATCTTAGGGAAGCCCTCCTTCAGCCCTAATTTATCTGCCACGATATGCAAAGCAATTTCTCCGCCGTGAGCTTCTTTCCGATGAAGACCTGGCAGCTAAGCTGATACAACTTGCTGCGGGCAAAGGACGGGATTCACTCCCTCCTCCCTGCTCCATCCCTGCGGTGCCTCTTCCTTTCCGAATCAAACATCCCCGCCAGTTAAAACCTTTACAATAAACTACAATTCCGTATACATTCCAGGCAAGAAATGTATGTGCAGCTTTTCAGATGTGCGTCCTGTGCCCTCCCTCAGCAGCAGGAGGTTCTTGTACGAAAGAAGCACTGGCAAGAAAGAAAACGTTCTAAATGTCCTGATACACAAGAAAATCTCTTTAGAAAGTAAAACAAAATAAAACAAAAAATCCAAACCAAAAAAAAAAAACCCACACAAAAAGGAGTACAATGAAGTCTTTATTCTTGGTGTCGTGTAAGCAAACAGCAGGCAAATGTGTTAAAGAGGAAACAGGAAATTTTTATTGGAAACAGCTTTATTTGTTAGTCTGTTTCACAAAGCAGGCCTCCATGCCCAAATCAAGGCTAGGAGTTCCTTTTGTGTACGGTTGGGAACCATTAGTCCTTATTTACCCACTTCCTGGGGGGTTAGCAGGACCCAATTCTTCCCCAAAACTGGTAAGTGAAAATGGAAACTTCTAACTTCCCTTTTGTTTAACTTTGGTTAATCTTTGTTCCTGGACCTGCAAGTTTAAAACTTCATAGCAAAACTATCTCCATTCATACCTTGTTTGGTACTGCAGTTGCAGAAGGGAGAACTCTAACATGTCTGTAGGCTTTTGTTGGATGATACCTTCCCTCATAGAAAATAAAATCCACACTGTGTGATGCTGCAATAATGTCCTTTCAGAAAAAAATAATCATAGCAGTCTAGCTAGCAGCAGCAAGATCATTTTCTTCCCTTCTTCCTCTCTTTTTGCTTCCATGAAATAACACACAATTTAAGCACCAGCTCTTTCAGGGTTTTCAGGACAAAGTGCAAAGCAGATGTGTCTTTGTACACTCATGCGCTGACTCCATTTTCACCTAAGTGCTAAACATCGTATGAACAGCTCTTCCGAGCAGATGGTTTCCTCTTGGCTCAACTCAGACACCTTTATGGCCATATTAGCACCTCCACACGTCAGCTCTACTCACCTCACCTTTTGGTTCCAGTAAGAGAGCAGACTGTAAAAATCTATGGCGAGATTGGTCAAATCAATGCTATTAAAATAAAATTTCAGCAAAAAATCAGATTCATTGCTTCAGGTTCGCTCCAATGTCACACCTAACAACTGGTTTGCTTTGGGGTTAATTTTTGATCAGGTCACTCTAATTGAAATTCCCTATACTCTAATTGAAATTCCCTATTTGACTTTTTCAGAAAAAAAAAAAGAAATGTGTAAAAATTTAATACAAAATCATCTTCTTGAATTAGCTTGCAAGAGAGCCTCTCCCAT